TGCTAGTTTTTCAAATTCAAATTCTTTAATGTCAAAAATACCTTTTTAATGAAGTGAGAAGGAAGGGAATCAATTTTAATAACTTTTAATTATGTCCAATGACTCTTAATATATTTTAAGTCTAACAACCATTAGAATAAACATATATATTTTTTTAAAAGTTATTTTTTAAATACATAAGTCAACATTAGATTAAATAATCTAACAATTAATAGTTATTAAAATATAATAGTAGTTAATTTTGTCTCTCTAATAATTATAATATCACTAAATTATTGATTATTATATAAATATAGTTATATTTTTTTTAGAATTGAGAAGGTAGTTATCTTTAACCTATAAGTAATTAAAATAAATTAACAAAAGATTGTTGATTTAATTGATGTTACAACTGACTTTCAAATCTCAAAGACTCAATAAGGATTAATAATATTATATATAATTTATGATTAATAATGCTATAGAATTATTAAATATATAATATCTGTTAGCAATTAATTTTGTCCCATAAATTTTTAATAATACCATAAACTATTGTCTAATTATGATTAATTGTGTCTTAAAATAATTAATATTAATCACACATTCATAATTATATTGTATTAACTTGTTATAAAACAAAATTGATTATAATTTAATCTTGTATTATAAGGGGGTGTATTGATTTAAGATTTTAATCATTAGGGTTAGCCTAGTGGTTGAGTGTTGAGGGGTTGGGGTAGTTAGAAACATGAGGACTTAGGTTCAATCCTCATCGCGATCATCTTTGTAATTTTTCCTATCTTTACAAAAAAAAAAAGAATTATGATTTTAAAAGATTTTTTTAGTTGAAAAAAGTCTTGTAAATTTTAAAAAGATTTTGTAAGATTCCGCAAGACTTTCAATCAGAATTTTAATTGCAAGACTTTTAAGTTAGGATTTTGATGGATTCTGCAAGACTTTGTGAACTTTGCAAAATTTCATAGATTTTTTACTTACAATAAGAGTTCAAGATTTTTTTTTCATGCATTCAAATTTAAAAATAATAAAAAAAATAAATAACAATATTTGGATCAATAATAATAATAATAATAATTCTCCGTAATATCATGTCTTGCTAAATAGCATTCACTCACATATTCATAGTTATACTACTCTTTCAAGCATTAACATCTTTTCGCTCTTGCTCTTGAGTTTTAATAATAGGCTCAAAATTATGATTTTCATTAGTCGATAATATTGAAAATGAAAGTTTGTCCACCACTCCAATTGAAAATTCATTAGAATAACATTCTTTACAAAGAAAGTTATGTAGTGCTGCACATGCTAAAAATTATTCTAAACAATATTTCAAAAATTTTAAAATTTGTGATTTAAAATATTTTATTTATAAATTTATAAATGATTAAAAAAATAATGGGAGAGCTACCATACTTTCTTATAATTAAATATGTCCCTTCATTTTATATTGGTGTTTGAATGAAAGTTTGTCTTTCATACACTTTTATTCATTTAAAATATCTTAAAAATTTACAAACATCAACTAGGAGAAAAAAATATCTAAAATTTGTTACAGGTACAAAATAATTTTTTTTAATTTTTTAATTGCTTTCATTTATTCACTTATGAAGAAATATTTTTAGTATTGAATTCTAAGATAATGCAATGTCTTATGTTAATTTTCTTTTTTAAAATATAAAAAATCCTAATTTCATAATATAAAAATTAAAAAAATAAAATTCATAATAAAAAAAGAAATAAAACAATGTTTGAGTCATAAAAAGGAAAGAATAATAGTAACAAATTCAAGAGAGGGGGAGAGATCGCAGTTTTTGTGCTGAGAGGGTTCTTCCCCCAATTAAGATCCATTCTTATCTCATTCTACTCATAGAAACCCTAAATCAAATTTATCTTTTATATATTTTTTCTAATAAATCTAAATTTATTACAAGATCTTGAAGATCTAAAATTGATTATAGAGATCATGATATTAATTTTAGTTTTTACCTTTACATTTTCTTGACACGTGTTATAAAAAAATTACTACTTAAAAGTTGAAATATCAAGCGTTTTCTGTAATATATAACTGAGAAACAATCTCAACTAAATAAAGCAAAATAGAGTAAGTCAATTAAAGAGAATGAGGAGAAAAATAAAACAAGTTAATGATATTATCATTTGAAGTTTCACTAAACAGGGGAATGAAATGAGAACAATAGTACAATATTATATATGAGTAATAGTGCAGTATTATTAGCAAGAGAAAAAAAATGAAGAAGACATGAACATAGAAAAAAAAAGATGAAAAACTCATTTGAAAATTCTTGAAACACTTGAAAAGTTACTTCAAACAATCCTCCAAAATTTGATGAGTTTTGATGAGATTGTTTTATGAATTTGGTATTTATAAATACCACTAAAAAGTCCTTCAAAATCTCTCTAATATAACAATTCTTTAAAATTCCTATATTTTTTAATACAAAAATTATTTTTAAGTTGTAAAAAGTCTTAAATGAATATCAATAAATTTTAATAGACTCTTTAAAAAATCTTGAAAACCTAGATTAAATATTATTATTATTTTTAAGTGACATAAACTTTTAATTGAATACTAATAAACTTTTTTATTAAAAAAAATATTTTAAAATCTTATAAAAATCTAAACCAATACACCCCCTAAATGATTCTACGATGGGCGGTTTCCCGAGTGTAGATTAGCAATTGCTCTTTTATATCTTATTAATATTATTCTTAATAAAATTTTTACAATTATATATTTATCATTTTATAATTACCGCCGTTAGTACCTAACAAGATTGAAAGAACAAATAACGTTATAGACTAATTCTTTAGAAAATAAAAAACTTTTCAATTATATATTTAATATTTTATAATTACCGCCCTCACTACACAACACGAGTAAAAGAACAAATAAAGGCAAATACTAACAAATAAATTAAAGATAAAAGGCGTAACGTATATAGTGTTATAAAAAAAATATTAAAAAAAAGCTTTTCAAGGGTAAGATTCTCAGACATACCGTATGTCACGTCAACACCAAGTGGAGAAATATTTAACTTAATTATTGGTCCAAAGGCCGGCTTAGGAATTGACTATATGTGAGAAAATTATCAAAATACTTCCATTTTTTTTTTGAATTTATGGGAAGGAACAAAGACATAAATATATATCAAAAAAGTAACGAAATTCTTATATCGGTATATTCTGTTTTTATTTTATTTTTACTTTCTTTATCTCAATTTTTTAATTTTCTATTTTTTTACATTATTTATTATATTTACTGGTTTCTCTATCTTGTTTTATTTATTTATTTATTTTATCTCTTTTATTAACTAGTATTTTTAATATGTACATATTAAAATTTAAATATTTATTATATATAATTAAATTTTATAATATTTTATATATGAAATAAATATTATATTTAAATATATAAATTATATTTAAAATGTATATAAATAGATGTTTTTAAAATGAAAATTATATATTCAATTTAAGATAAATAATTTATATTAAGATAAAAGATTATTTTTAATCATTAATAATGTATTTTAAAAATATTAAATTATTTATTTATAAATAAATATGATAAATAAAAAAATTGAATTTAATAAAAGGTTAAAAAAATTATTGAAAACACTCTCATAGGATATTCTTATACAAAATAATAATTCTTATTTAATATATAGAAGTTGATTTTTTTATAATTTAATTTTTTTATAAATAAAAAGGAAAAAACTGATATACGACATATGAAGAGAGAAATAAGAAGAGTAAATGAAAATAGAAATAATAAAAAGGAAAAGGTAAAGGAGATGATATTAATATTGATTGAGATTTTCCTTACAATTTAAGGTCTCTTTTTTTTACAAATAAAAAAAATTGATATATGACAGATGAAGATAGAAATAAGAAGAATAAGTGAAAATAGAAATAATATGATGAAAGAGTTAAAGTAGATGATATTATTATAATTAAAAAAATATATTATTATGATATTGAAAGATGTAGCTGTCAACTTTATCAAAAATTAGTTAATATTTTTTTTGAAATTTTGATTATATTAAAATTATTTTTTTCAATATTTTTTTATTAAATTTAATACTTTAAAATTTGGAGATGAATAGTAATACTCTACCCGGACCAATCAACGTGTATAATATTGATGGAGATTGATTGCTGTGTGCCTTTAATTTAAACTACGTCCATATATATCACGTACACATTTCCCATTCCAGACACATCTAAGGTATCTGTAACAAATTTAAAACTCAAATTTTTGTGAGTATTTGGATGATGAATTCCCCTGTTGAACGAAGCATATTTCATATTGTTTTATAAAGTCTGGGTCAGCTAAAAGTTAAGCCAAATATGCAATTTAACACATCGGATATAATATGTGCGTGTATAGTTATTTAATATTTCAGCCGATCCATATTAACTATATGGTGTTTTAAATTTTGTGATTTTAACACGGTAACATTTGTTATTTAAATTTAATAGCTATGAATAAATTTTATTTATATACGATGTAAGAATGAAAAATATCTTAACCATTAAAATCATGACACCCTGTATTATTCTGTGAAATTAGGCAAGATAACTTTTTCTTTTAGATAAAACAAAATTTTAAACTACAATACTTCTGTGAGAGATCTAATAAATCAATTTATAACCATTAATAAAAGAATAAAATTTTAGAAATCACTTTCGTTTTCATTTTTTTACCTTTATTTTCTATTTAATTATACAACAACTTTTTCTAACAATATATTCGTAAAAATAATAGAATATATATATAAAATGTAACATCCTGTATAAGAATTATATAGAGACATGAATAATTTCATTAGGATAAAAAATTAAAATTTGAATCTATATATATATTTTTTGACATAAAAAATAAAATAAAATGATGTCACATTATATTGCAGTTATCTTTCAGTTGAATTATGAAATTCTAAGTGAGCACGTATCAACAATATTATGGCCATAATTACGATTGTTGACCGCAATTTAAAAGTCTGCCTAACAATATTCGGCGATGCGCATTGACTATATTGTAACTCTGACATTCATAATCTATTAAACACCCCCATCTCTAAGCTATCTGTATCTGCAACGGATCTCTGGAATTACTATTTAGATGATGACATCCCCTGTCGTGCAAATCGTTTCAGAATGTTATGTGAAGCCCATGGGCTCAACCAAAGAGTCAAACCACCTATGTAATTTAACACCTTGGGATATAGCTATGCTGTCTATGAACTATATCCAGAAGGGTCTCCTTTTCAAGAAGCCTGATCAACATGATTTCATAGAGAATCTGTTGGACAGGCTCAAGCAATCTCTTTCTCTTACCCTCTTACATTTCTATCCATTGTCTGGCCGCCTTGTCACACAAAAATCCGAAGACCCTTCCACTTATTCTATTTTCCTTGATTGCAACAACAATTATGGAGCTAGATTCCTATATGCAACTTTGGACATGACCATATCTAACATCCTTTCGCCCGTTGACGTTCCACCCATTGTTGAATCATTCTTTGATCTCCACAAAGCAGTGAACCATGATGGTCACACCATGCCACTCTTGTCCATTCAAGTCACCGAACTGGTGGATGGTGTTTTCATAGGTTGTTCCATGAACCATGTCATAGGTGATGGCACTTCCTATTGGAATTTCTTTAACACATGGTCCCACATCTTTCAAGCTCAAGCTCAAGGGGATGAATATGATGTTCCCATTTTGCGCCAACCCATTCACAATCGTTGGTTTCCGAATGATTGCAGTCCACCGATCAATCTTCCTTTCAAGCAAGAAGACGAGTTTATTAGCAGATTCGAAGCACCCTTGTTGAGAGAGAGAATCTTCCACTTTTCAGCAGAGTCTATTGCAAAACTGAAAGCAAGAGCAAACTCAGAGGCCAAAAGCAGCGAAATCTCTTCGTTCCAAACGTTGTCAGCGCATGTTTGGAGATGCGTAACACGCGCACGGCACATGGCGGATGATGAGATAACAAGTTGCAAGCTGGCCATAAATAACCGATCAAGAATGGAACCGGCTCTGTCGCGGGACTACTTCGGAAACGCGGTGGGTGTGGTGAGTGCAGAGAGCACAGCAGGGGAACTGATGGAACATGATCTAGGATGGGCAGCATGGAAGGTGCACAAGGCTGTCGCAAACCACAGCGACAGAGCGGTCCGAAACATGCTCAAAGAGTGGCTCCAATGTCCTGTCGTGTACCAGCTTGGTGTGCACTTCGATTCGAGTGGTGTGACGGTGTCGAGTTCGCCGAGGTTCGACATGTATGGGAATGAATTTGGGATGGGGAAAGCGGTGGCTGTTCTGAGTGGCTATGCTAACGAATTCGATGGGAATGTGACGGCATACCCTGGATTCGAAGGAGGAGGAAGCATAGATTTCGAAGTGTCTCTTGCGCCTCATGTGATGATCGCGCTCGAATCAAATGAGGAGTTTATGGAAGCAGTTTCTGTGTCCAATCCCCTGCACTAGCCACTTCAACAATATTGTTGAACATGTCATAATTAAAATAACATGCATTCTATCAGATGCTGAATGGTTTTTGAGAGGCTATGCGTTGCGATTCATTAGTCCCGAAAGCTTTCTCCCACCATTTGTGTCTCAAACTTCCATCATATGTCGAGTAAAGTTTTAACCATAAAATAAACAAATATACTGTCCCATCGGGTTGCGGAAATGTTTAGGAAGTATTGTCACTTAGCATATAAATCAGTTGATAGGTTATTGAAAAATAACTTAGAACAGTCTAATGAATAATTAGTAGATCTTCTTCGGTTTAGGGTAGCTGATTGTTCTTGTGCGACTAATGAATAGTCTACTTGGCTCTAAAGGAATAGAATTAGAGCATCTGCAACGGGGGTTGCTTATAAGCAACTCCCTATGCCACATCACTGTCATATCAATTCTGGCTCACTTTATGAGTTGCTTAAATTTTGGCAGAATTGCTTGTAGAAGCAACTTTACCAAAATTTAAGCAACCCATAAAGTGGGCCAGAGCTGATATAGCAGAGTTGCTTATAAGCAATCCCCATTGCAGATGCTCTTAGAAATTGATATTAGCATTTGACTAGATGCTAAAATGGGCCACAATAGATTAGATTAGACATCCTAGTCTATTTTCTCTAATCTATCAATTTGTCGGATCAAATGTCATGCTAGTTTGTGAGCCTGTCTAAATTTTATTTATATTTTTTTTTATGTTTAATTTATGTAAGCTACATAAGATTTATTAAATATATAATTTGTGATTTGTTATGTAGAAAATATGTTGTGTATTTAATTTATTTTAGATTAAAATATTTTTTTAGTCTCTATAATTTCATTTACTTTATATTTTTGTTTTATACTTTAAAATAAATATTTTTAGTTTTTATACTTATATATTTTAATCTTTTTAGTTTCATTGTTTAAGACAGATTTTTTTAGTCATTATACTACATTTTTTTAATTTTTTAGTCCATATCAATCATTTTTTTGTAACTTTGTTTGTTTTGTGTTGACTAGTAGATGTGACACCCTCTACTTCACACATAAAAGTAAAGAGTTCACATTCATAAACTTAATCCAAATAACATGTCAGCGGAATTGCAAAGAAATAAAATCGAGTTTTTAAATAGTTTAATGGAAATAGCATCCTAAACTAATCCTAGTTATGCCCAGTGTCACATATCCTATCATAGCAAGCCTAACACTGAATCATAAACATCATCACCAACATCATTATGCTGATAGTCTCTTGCAACACAATTAAAAACATACACAAAAAAATAAGGGAGTGAGAAACATCTCATTCAAGCTCAAAGTACGAAAATAATTGTAAGATAACTACACACACAAAGCAATCATAGAACAATAACACATACACAAATTAACATAGAGTAGTAACACACCCACAAGTCATTTATCATGCAATGAAGTCATGGACTCGACTCATAAATGCATGCATTTGGCGCTAATCACGTCACATATCACTAATATGCTGCCGAAGCAACACACCTAAGGTAGTTGTAACACCCTGATTTTCATAAAATTATATTAATATTATGTTATATAATTATTTTAATATTTGAATGTATTTATTAAAGGATTTTGATATTATTTAATTATTTATATGAGCTCTATTTTATTATAAAGCTTGATTTATAATTATTATTTTAATTAGTGAAGTAGGATTTATTTTATAAGGTGTATTTTATTATTATGTTCATGTTGTTTGATTAAAGAAAGGAATATGTTTAATTCTATATATATTATATTAATTATTTTATGAGAATGGGAAGGAAGGACATGTTGGTAAATGATTAATTATTATTATTATTATTTATTTTATTAATTGAGAAAAAGGGGTCAAGGAAGTTATCAGAAGTTACAAGTTATTTTCACGTATTCACTTACGCTCATTCTCTTCTGACCCTCATTCTCTCTCTTAAGGTTTGAAGAACGAGGAGACCTCAAAGAAGAAGACCTACCAGATTTTGCTTGTGCTTCATCTTCTACTCATCAAAGTAAGGGGGAGTGAGAGATCTCACTCAAGGGTGTGAGAATAATTGTTGGATAATCGGATTAGCCCTCAATCTCTTACTTGATGTATGCATATAGGAACAAACATTTTATATAAAAGCTTTCTATTTTTCTTTCTGATTATTCTGTTGTGTTCCGTGTGTGATTCTGAGTGTGAATATGTGTTCAATTTCAATAATGGATATGTTTGGTAGTAGGATGGACCCTCAATCCCTTGCCTGATGTATGCCTATAGGAACAAGCACTTTATGAAAGTTTTTCTGTTTTGCTTTCTAATTGTTTTATTGTGTTTCTTGTATGATTCTGAGTGTGGATATGTGTTCAATTTCAATTATTGATATGTTTGGTAGCAGGATTGACTTTAATCCCTTGCTGGATGCATGCTCTTAGAAATAGCTACTTTTCGAATGTTTTATATTTTCGTGTTTGAGTTTTCTGTTGTGTTCCTTGATGGTTATTGAATGTGAATATATGATTAATTTCAAAAATAGATAAGTTTTGGTATAAATTAGAGTGCTCTATGGGTAACCCTATGAAGTGAAATTAGGGATATGATCTTTGGATGAATTTTGAGGCATTATAAGTAAAATTAATGATGGATTCATGTTTTAGGTAATATTTGGAGTGTTTTGACCAATTAAAATATTATATTAACTGGATGGTTGTAAAAAATGCGTGAAATCATAAAGTTGGGTCTATGACCTTTATACTTTGTATGTTATGAATTGTAAATTGAATGTGTATTATGTTGAATAATTTCCTAGTATGATTTATGTATTATTCTGATGTATACGGCTATGAGAAGTTCCTTGTATGAGACTATGTAAATATGATGTGAAAATGTGAAAAGTGAACATGTGACCTGTGACATGATAATTTGAGATATGAGAATCTATGATAAGTGAAATGTTGAGTCAATGAATAGTAAATGTGTGACATGCATCATGTGCATATCTAATTCCAGGTGTGTCGCTTAGGCCGCATACCAGTGATGTATTGAGCTATTCTAGGTGTACCTTGGGTCACCAGTGATATATTAAGCTATTTCAGGTGTACCTTGGATCATCGGTGATGTATTGAGTTATTCCAAGTGTGTCACTTAGGTCGCATGTCAGTGATGTATTGAGCTAATCCAGTTGAACCTTGGGTCACCAATGATGTATTGAGTTATTTCAGGTGTGTCTCTTAGGCGCCAGAGATGTATTGAGCTATTCTAGATGTACCTTGGGTCACCAGTGATGTATTTATGAATGAACGTGCCCCCAGGTATGTTGCTGCAACAACATACTTGTGATGAGAAATGTGCAACTTTTGTGTGGCACCATATGCATGCATTTATGAGTTGATTCCATGACATCATTGCAAGATAAGTGAATGTGCATGTGATCTAATGTATTTGTAACTTGAGAGTTGTGCTTGGTTGTGTGTAACTTCTATGGTATTTGTTATGATTATGTGTGTTACCTAACATTTATTTCTATATCTGAACTAGAGTGAGATATTTCTCACTCCCTTGTTGCTCTATGTGTATTTTTATTGTGTTACAGGTAATCATCAACATGAGGATGTTGCTGATGAAGTTTAAGTCTCATTGTGGGGTGTGCTTTGATAAGACATGTGACATCGTGGCTTAGTTAGGATTAATTTAAAATGTTACTCTTGTTAAATTGTTTAGAAGATCTTGATTTTATTTTTTTTATAATTTTCTCATTAAACTATGATTTATGATTTATGAATGTAAGCTCTTTACCCTTATGTGGTTAGAGACTTGGATTTTATTTATGAAGGATTTTATTTATCTCTATTTATTGTATAATTATGTATGTGGGGTAGAGGGTGTCATAGTAGTCTAGGAGGACACGTGGGGCTCAACCCTTTAATTGCACTCTCAATTAGAAGGATGTACTGCTAAAGTCTCGTTGGGATAGTAAATCCGCGCAAGTTACGTCCCATGCACACAAACGGGCGGAACTAGGACATCAAAACCACAATATCCCCCACCTTAAGTTCTATTATAATTAACCCTTTGTAAAGCTTAAGTGATGTACTCTTTTTCCTACCTTAGCTTTTTTTTCCTGGAAAGGAACTATGAAGGTTTTAATGAGGCACACCAAAAAGTGTTAATGAAGTATCTCCTTTTTTGCACACATTTCGCTTGTGACATTAATTCTCAAATAACTCGGCAAATCGCATACTAAGATAGCCAAAAAAACACATACACACATGCATGTTTTACAAATAACCAAGGCCTTAACATGCCACCCTTGGTCGAGTTCGAACCATAACACTACAATGCCTAAACATGCACCCGAATGAGGTCGAGTTCGAACTAGGATTCGAAAGGCCAAGTTTGAAGCCCGATGTTGATTTGAAAGGCCAAGTTTGAAGCCACAAAAACAATTCAGTGAAGTTTGAAAGGCCATGTTTGAAGCCACAAAGAAGGCCAAGTTTGAAGCCACGAAGTCGATTCGAAAGGCCAAGTTTGAAGCCACAAAAACAATTCAACAAAGTTTGAAGCCACAAAGACAATTTAAAAGGCCAAGTTTGGAGCCACGAAAACAACTTGAACGACCAAGATGGCCAAATTTAGTACACCAACGTTTGTATGAACTAATAGTAGAACACGAATCACAAGGCACGACCATGATGTTCATAAAACATAAAAGATATCTAGGCAAAATAGAAAGTTGAAGTCTTCGAAATATACCCATAAAAACCAAAGGAAAATTGTTCATACATCAATAGAAGTAATAAGAGACAAAAACTTAGAAAAAAAAAAAAAAAAAGAACAACAAGGGGAAGACAATTTAAAGTTAAGCACCCTCCTCACTGGTCCTATCAGACAGATCATCCTTGTAAACAAGCTGACCACCACGAACGTCCTTATCAATGCTCAACAAGGAGAGATCAACCCCAAGAACCAACACTTTTACTTGTCGTACAACCTTAGCAAAACCTTTTCTATGCTCGATCATGACCTCACGTTGAGTCATGAGTAGCTCCCTCTCCGCATCCTTCTTCGTCGCAGTCAACACCCTGAAGTCCATCTTTGCATTTTCCACGTCTTTCTCTTGAGCAAGCCTTCATCGCTCTGATGCTTCTCCTTAGCAGCTTAGAGTTTCTCCCTCAAAACCTTGTTCTCCTCCTCACATGAGAGAGCTTGGAGCTTGGCGCCCTCATTCTCGACCTCTGCTATCTTCACCCTCTCAAGCAATTCTGCCTCCTTGGCCGCATAGGCCTCATTGGCCTTCATCGCGGCAAAGAAAGATTTCTTCACCTTCTCCAGGTCCCCTCTTACAATCTCGAGCTCGGCCTACCCTTTCTTAGCTTTCTCTAGTTCGACCATTTTTTGGTGCCATTTACGCCTCCAATGGTCCACTATGGCAATGGATTGTTGCATGAACACATCGGTAGAATCAAGCCCTTCAACTGGCCCTACCTTCTCAATGATGGCCTTGTCGGCCACATAAGTAGGGTCCTCCTTGTAGAAACCCTTAACAATGAGATTGGGATTCCATAAGGAAACCACGTCAAGCGACATACTAACATGGTCCAACCTCCCCAAGGGGCGACTCATGTCGAAGCATTGATAAACGCACCGCGACCTAGGTGTAGAAGCTAACCTTGGGCCAGGCGAGGTTGTGACAAGGGGAGCCGACCCTGAGCCAATTGTGTTGTCACCGCCCAACACGG